ATTATTTTAAAGGGGTCATATGATGTGATTTAAATTTTTCCTTTCTCTTTGGAGTGTTACAAGCTCTTGGTGCATAAATAAGATCTGTAAAGTTGCAAAGACTAAAGTCTCAAATCCAGAGATATTCTTTATAAGAGTTAAAAGTCCGCCACACCTACCTAAAACGGCTCGTTCTAACACGCCCCCACATGTCTACATCACTATGTGGGAAGATTTGCATAACGCCGCCCAAATGTTCATGCAAAGAAAGAAGGCGTAACTTTTATTCTCGCTGTAGTATTGTTGCTGCCGCTGCCATGTTGTGGAGTCGCCGTGTGCTTCGTTGTGAAAGCGAAACTACTTTTTTTGGTCTTCCAAGTACAGTATGTGGAAAAGAATGTGTTTTTTGAACCTTAAACCGCATAAACACATTTCAGTACACCAAATACACAAAATAATGTTTTTTTAGCAACATCATATGACCCCTTTAAGTTAACCCAAGTAAGAACTGAACCATGAGGAGACACTAAATAAATACGTCATCATTCACATTTTTAAAGATATCCATTCAAAGAATCACAAGTAGTAACTTTATAGAAATGGACAACTAGTCACAAAACTTATCTCATAACAAACCTGAGGAATACATAAGTAAATTCTTCAGTATGTTCCAGATCTTACAATATGTAGTTGCTGTTATCTTATTAGTTGCTTAATTAAGCACTACTTGAAGGTAGGTTTACTGATGATGCATTAAACAATTCCACCAAATGATTTGTTTCTGAAACAACCAATCAGTTTAATCACAGCAGTACATGCGCACATCATTGAGGGCCGTGTCGTCTCCGACTCCCTGCGGCTGCTCAACCATCGTCTCGATGCCACAGATTCCCTTTCCTCCACACTTCTCACTCCAGTCTCCCCATTCGCCCCATGACATCCCAGATCCCTGCAGCATTTCTGCATTTCCACTGCAGTTAAACCTGGGAATACAATGACCATACAATGATCACAACCAGAGCTAGCCTATGAGTCCAACTGTCCAGATCTAAGCGTTAAATAACTCTAGACTCTTGAGCGGGTCACTTCATATCCGTGTCAGATGAGCCTGATGTGTTTATACAGCTTGTTATAGGATGCTGTGAGAACAACATTCATGCTCCAGAATCCTGCTGCTTTAGGAAAACTGGTTGTCACAAGTTAAATAAGTTCATCACCTGATATTGTTTGCGGCCGTGTCGTCCCAAGTCCCTTGGTAGGGTTCCACTCTCAGCTGAAAAGATGTCAGAAATCCACTTGAGCACCATTTGATATCTGACCATTTACCCCAGCTGAGGAAAGAACGTGATAAGAAAAGTTAGTGGTATAACCAGTTATTTGTTAGTTTAATAAATATGGAGTGTCCATGTACACTAAGTGCAAATAGCCTGCCTTGTTGGCAGAGGCTATTTATACTAACTCCACCCACCAACATGTGATTGGCTAGCCAACGGTACAAAAGACGGTCATCTAACAACAATTCCAGTAGGGCTGGGCGATATAGCTAAAAAATGTATCAACTATATAATGTTTCATATCGTTCGGTATCGATAATTATTGACATTTTTATAACCTTTTTTAAAACAAAAAGCAATAGAAATTTTTTTTTTTAAAGGGGTCATATTATGCTATTTTAAAGATCATTATTTTGTGTATTTGGTGTAACAGAATATGTTGACATGCTTTAATGTTAAAAAAACACATTATTTTTCAAATACTGTACATTATTGTAGGTCCTCTATGCCCCGCCTCTCTCAAACGCTTCGTTTTCAACAAAGTCCCTCCTTTGACAAGCGCAGTCTGCTCTGATTGGCCAGCTGACCCAGTGCATTGTGATTGGCCGAACACCACAAGCACTCGTCGGAAATGTAACGCCCCCTACCATAATCGCCAGCTTCAGCTTTCAAAGTAAATATCAAGACAGTTAATAATGTCGTTAGTTTTACCATCAGTTCAAGCCCGAAAGGGCAACAGAGTCGCGTGACAGACACAGTGATGAAGCTGGTATGTGTTTGCAGTACACAAGCCACGGTTAAGACAGCTGACGTGCTATGATAGCCGTTTTAGGTAGGCGTGGCTGACTCTTGACTTGTATAAAGCATATCTCTTTGGATTTGAGACTTTAGTCTTTGCAACTTTACAGATCTTCTTCATGCACCAAGAGCTTGTAACACTCCAAAGAGAAAGGAACAATTGAAATCGCATCATATAACCCCTTTAAATTTAACCACTGTATTTATAATGAACACAATTTATTGAGACAAACAACAAATATTTTTTGTTTTAACAATCAAACACAATAAAAATTAAACAAATATCTAATTTCTAATGTTTTAGGTATATGCAGATTAAATAGGTCTTTATTGTATAGGTCTAATTGTCTCCTGAGGCCACAGGAGGGCGCAATGAGCAAAATGCAGCGCATTTAGCAAGTAACTCTATAAAAACGTGCATTAAGTCTAAATTAACTCATAAAAATCAAATATAATTTTGCAAATTGCATAAACAATTATGAACAAGACAGCATCACGTATTTATGCATTGCTTACAAAGAGCCGAAGCGCCCATCACACAGACTGCATTTAAAAACATGAGACGCAGTGAAAAGGAATAAACCTCCACAAATTCGTGACGTGTTTTCTAAAAGTTTAAACTGTTTTAACTTTGCATGGCTTTCTATACATCTCTT